CCTCTCTCTCTCTCTCTCTCTCTCTCTCTCTAGGATCCAGTCTTCGCTCATCTCGTACTTCAGCTGGAAGATAACGTTCGGCCTGGTCAGATGATGGTACAACGAGTCTGCTGGAAGGGCATGTGGTAGAGCAAGGTGTATAAGGTACGACGGTATCTCCAAAGGGAGTCGAGGGGATGGATGCCTTGTCAGAGCAAACCCGAGTAGTACGAGCTGTATAGCAACATGGGTACAGGTACAGGCAGCCTTCCTTACTCAGCAGACAAGGCGCCAAGGCACTTCGTATGTTCGTACCTTCGCGCCTTCGCCTTGCATGGGCTACAGGATCTACAAAACATCCGCTGGATCTAAACTGATCTGCCAGGGAATCCTATTCGTAGACCCAGTGATCGGGGTAGCCTCTAACTCTATTGGACGCGAAATCCGAGATTCCGAAAGAATAAGTATGACGCCCAAGTACGCTCTTGCGATGGAATGCAAAGACACTTCCTAGCTGAGCGTTGCCCTGACCTGGCGAACTACTGTTCATCTATGTCCTGACTTGGACTCACTTGTTGTAACGAAGATGCCGCACTCTACAGCCTCTGCGCCTGGTACCGTCGAGGCCACGATCAACTACCACTTCAAACCAGCATTAGGAGAGTCGCCTCCCAGTCCGGTCCCAGGGACGGTTGGCGCCGTCCGTCAGAAACTGAATGCGCAGGCTGTTCGCATCACCGATATTCGAAGCACGGACAATCGGTTCCATGTCCACCGCCATGGGTTTCAGCTTGTCAGATTTACTGGACCAGAAGGTCTCAAGTACGAGACTTTTGATGATGGAGACAAGATCAAGAACAAGTTTTACGACGAAGTGAAGGAACTGCTCAAGACCGAGTACGCGACGAGGCATACATAATGCACTGTTCAATCGGATCCCTACTAAGTGGGCAACAGACTTGGCGCCACCTATGTATTCGTCATCAGCCACAGATTACGACGCGAATCGTATCAATCCGTGCTTGATCTCCCGGCGGATACTCCGGACACACAGAAATTTTCGCAGATCGTCCCCACTATGAATGTGCATGTCGACCAGTCTTACGACGGAGCTGAGATGTTGGTCGATATGCTGCAGTCTCAAGGGGGAGAGGCGACAGACTTGAAAGCGAAGACGAAGAGCTGTCGCTGGGTATGACAGCCAATCTATCCCACTTGGCGTTCGAGAGATCCGCTGACATGACACCTTGTTAAGGCTATCATCAATGTCTGGAAGCCACTCAAAACAGTCACCCGCGAGCCATTGGCACTGTGCGATTCTACGACAGTCTCGGATGCTGAACTTCGAGCTGTCAAACTCCGAGCGCCGCCGATGGAGTTCTTCGAGGTTGCGCACAGTCCTGAGCATAAATGGTACTGGCAATCGAATATGGAGCCCGATGAGGCGTTTTTTATCAAATGCTTTGACAGCAAGACTGAGGGTGTGGCGCGGAATTCGCCACACTCTGCATTCATTTTACCCGACGGCCAGGGATCGCCCAGGGAGAGCATCGAGATCAGGTGTGTTGTATGCTGGGAGAATGAGAGTAATTAGTGCAGAGATGCATGTCTCTGCCGCCTGCGGTTTCTGGAAACTCGACTGTCGTGAGCAGATATCGGGATATGGAAAAGGTGTATACGGTGCTTCCCAGCGTTCAGTTCCGCTACCCCGATCTTGCCGTCTGCATCATCCATTGGACGAGCACTTCGAATACGAAGACCTCGATCGAACAGACACTCGGTCACATCATCTCATCATCATTGCATCGATTCGATTGTCATCATGGCCTGATCATTGAAGCAGTCGTCACTGTTGAAGGTGATACAACATGACTAGTGGTCTGTTGAACTGGGAAGCATTGGCGCGCTGGCTCGCGCTGAGAATCCAGCAAATGACGCAGACAAAGTGAGGTGGTCCACGAAGGACCAATGGCAGTGGTAGTGTGGAGCTCAGTGGCACGACATATGCTCTGCCCTGCCCTGCTCTGCCCTGCCCTGCCGTATCCTGCCCTGCCGCAGTCGATCATGCATCTACGCGAGCTCTCAATCGCCGGTTTTGTTTGTGCCCTTTTCCTCCAGATTTTACTACCAAAGACTCCGAGTTTTCTCCATGGGCTCGTTGCTGCATACCGCTGCCCGCTTAGAACTGAGCGCTACACAAGCGTTGATTCGACCACTTAACCATGCATCTGGCATCGACGATTCCCCCCCCCCCCGTTACTCCAAAGTTTCCAGTTCGAGTTGCAAATGGCAAATAGACGGGCCTAGAACATCGACATGGGTGTATGGATAGCGGCTACAGCTGCTTCTGTAGCACCTTTCAACATGTTCACGACAGTTGCACGACCGATGCAGGCAGCACACGCACACGCACACGCACATTCACCATAGTGACCATACAGTGGTCCCATTATGTAGATAGAAGGAAGACAACAGCGTGGCTGAACTAGATCTTGAGGTAGGTGGACTTGTTTCTCCCCTCGTTGAACATCTGCATCTCCTCGACTGTTGCTTGCAGCCAAATGATGCATGGCATCCAATTCGGGAGCTCGCACATCACCTCCCACCACTACTACGACTGTACTGCCACTACCACTGCCAGAACTCCAACCATCGTCCCGCGCTGAGCCCGACGAGATTTTCTATCAAATCGACCAAGAGTGCAAATTCATCGAACAAGAACTCGCATCATTCGCCTCCCGACCAGACTCGGATCCGCACAACCACCACCGAGCATTTCCCCAACGCCACATCGAAGCTCTGCACCACCTCCACCAATTCTCGCCAATCTTCCGCGACGCATACAAAGAGCTCTTATCCCGCCTCCCACTCTCCATCTCTCTCCACTCGAGACCCTCCAATCTCGGTGGCGTTTCCATGACATCTCCCGTCGACCTCCCTAGTACCCAATACGTTCGAACGCGATGTGTATTCGCAGCAGACTTTGCCCATCATCATCATCATCATCCTCCTCCTTCTTCTCATCATCATCATTTTCATAACAAGATCTCCCCCCAATGCGAAACCTGGACCTTCAAACCCTACGTCATCGACACATATCTCATTGGGCTCAGCAGAATTCTGGGAGCAGCAGCAGACACTCGACTCGAGAGGGATGAGCTCGAAGAGCAGCTGGCAGCGGGGTATAAGCAAATGTGTTGTTCGGGACATGAGGATGGGTTGAAGGAGTTGCAGGCCGAGGCGTTTGCCGTGAGGAGTCGACCTGTTGTGGAGCGGTGGCGGGAAGATGTGTCGTTGTGGTGGACTGTGGGGAAGTTGAGTAGTACGCCGACGACGAAGGCGGGGGGAGCTTCGTCGTCGTTGGTGAGGTTTTGAGGGGAGAGAGGCTGAGGGGGATGGTGGGCAAGTAGCTGGCCAGCTGTAGGAGGGGAGGGGAGATGATTATTTGACTGGGTGTGAGAGAGAGAGAGAGAGAGTATTGAACCTGACGGCGAATTTGATAAAGGACGTGATTCAAAAATTGTTTTTGATGCAGCGTTTCATAAAAAGAGTAACAGAAGTTTCTGCGAGACAGCTGCTGCGGACGTTCTAGCTAATTTGCGCCCAGTCACCTTCGTTCTGCGGCAAGAGTTAACGCTCAAAGTAAAGCAAGTTAAAGCAAAGCAAGGTAGAGTAGAGAAAAGCAAAGCAAAGTAAAGCAAATCATAGTACGCCCGAGTTCCACGCCAGCACAAGCAACTATATCCATCCATCCATCCATCCATCGTTCAATGCTCGCGGAACGCATCATTCATTCATAACCTTTCGCACCCCCTATCAGTCTTCGTTTTCGTTCCACCTTTGCCTGCCTTTAACCCCTTTGCCTTTGACACCCCTTCACGACCCCCTTGGCTTACTCCACCACATGCCCTCTTCATCAATCAAATACCTCAATCTCGCCGCCGCAGGCTTCGAGCAACCATAATGCAACTCATCGACACAATCAACCAACACAATCTTCGAAAACAACATGCCAGCCTTCTCCTCTGCGCTCTGCTCACACACCACCACGTGCGCAGCAAATATTGCCGGCCCAAGTAAATCCAATCCATACTGTCCAAACGCTTTGGCTTTCTCCTTCTGGCCCGCGCGCGCGAGCGTCACGCATACGGATGCGAGACGTGCGGCTTGGAAGGTCGCGGAAGTAGCGAGAAAGGCTAAGAATTTTGGGGCGGAGATTTGGGCCTTGAATGGGCTTGTCTCAGAGAGTGTGAGGTTTTTGAGGCATGGTGTGGAGATTTTGTTGTGGGAAACAGAAAGGTCGAGGAGTGGTGGCTCTTTTGTTGCGGTGGACTTTGACTTTGGTATGGACTTGGAGGTGCGCTTGCGCTTGGGCTGGGACTTTTGGGACTTGTTGACGCTGCGGTGGCCTTGGGAGAGGTCTTCGTAATCTTCGTCGTCGTCACTTGGGTCAGGGCGCTTGCGCTTCTTTGATGAAGTCGTAGCGTGCAATACACTGTCCCTCTGCCCAGACTTCGCGGCACCTTCTGCACTGCTGTCGCTCTTCTTGGCTTGGTTGTCAAGGTACTGTTGCCGAAGCTTTTGGGGCAGGGATGAGACGACGTAATCGACGACATGAGGCCCTGTGATTCTTTCGACGAACACTTCTGGCATACCTTCTGCGCGAAAGTATCGCTGCAGATGGTCGGTGGTGACCTCGTCTTCACCTCGGTCGGCCAGCGAGCGTGGCTTCGCCTTGGCAGGCTTCAGGAGGTTGCGTGATGCGTCGATAAAGTGCATCAAAATCTTCTCTGAGGTGATGTTCTCTTTCAAGAAAGCCGCGTCGATACCTTTTTTGGCCAAGTAGGAGCGCATGTAAACCGAGAAATTTACACGCATCGAGGCCAGCTCGGCCAGGCTGATGATGATCTTCTTTCTGGCAGGAGCAGCCATCTTAAGACTTGGAGGGTGTGTCGGAGCGAAAGATGTGAGAGTTGACGTCGAATGAGACTAGAGAGTGAGCAAGATGTTTGAACAGGAGGAAGAGAAGCGGATGAGAGAAAAAGACCATATCTTATACCTTGATAATAACAATAGCCCCTCACTGTACTATTGAAGTTATGAGCACACTCTAAAGTCTACGAAGCACAATAGACGCGAACTATTGTCGAGGGCTGCATATGAAGCTGCCATTGTGGAAAAACGACGCTCTTGGCGCGCTAGTGTTTCATGCTTTAGGTGAGGTCGACAATAGCAAACCAGCGTCAGAAACGCCAGCATAGTACCGACAATCGTACATTCAGAGATGCCTTGGGAAGCCGATGACGAGTCTCCTGATATTATGGCAGAGAAAGAACAAGAAAAAGTCGAGCAAAAGCAGTATGGGTAACGCAGCTAGCTCCTAAAACGTCCACAGTCAGCACATGATTGTGACTTCCAGATGCAATCCCATACAGGCAGAATATAGTGTTAGTTACGTCCAGGAACCGGCTTCACAGCTGCGCAAGTAAGGTTCAACGCACTTGCGAACGATCCAAGTGAAGCGGCGCGTCGAATTTGGGTGCTGCTGGGGCAGACCACTATAATTTGCCCATGGCAATTCTCGTGATGAGTGGAAGATGTGAGTGCTTGACCAAGCCGTCTGATCGTCGTCGGCAGGTTCGGCGCCAACGGCATGATGAACAACAGCGGGACGAGGGGGTCGCACTTCAGGAGGCTCATCCGGTGGTTGTACGGGCTGGTATGGGGTTCCTTCTGCGATTTCCAGCTCCGAGTTGCGGACTGTCTTTGATGATCTTGCAGTGCCTATGGACCGTGCTAGAGAGCGTATAATACGTTAGCTGCTTGAGCCATCCCAACTTTGACACTCCACGAACGCTATTGAATACTTCCCTTTCTCCCAGTACACCTCGAGTCCTACGCGAGATGAGGTCTGAAGACCGTGATACCGCGCAATGTGGCGGTCATGCAGGCATATCATGCTTGAATGCGACAGACAAGGGGGGAGCGGTTTCTGATCAGCTTTCATTTTGATGCTCTCCGATTGTACTGTTGGTAGCTGTTTACCGGTCCTATAATACAAGAATGGCGACAGCACAGCCAATGCAGACGGGAACAGGCGTCTGCCATGCTGCTGTGATCGGCGCCTGTTGTCTCCTCCTACTGTTGTGCTAAGCACAGAGGACGAGCGCACGCTCAAAGCCTCTAACATCTTTTATGCGAGAACAGACCTTCGCCCCCTCGGCTCTTTGGCAAATTATGCTCTCGTCAATCCTCCCGTTCCCTCGTCGACCATCGCTAGTCGCACGAACAAATTCATATCTGAAGGACTTTTCGACACCCCCAAGGGGTTCACGTAATGTTTGCGCAGTGCACTCGCATTCCAGCTCAATCAGAATGTGTGAGAGTCGCGAGGAATATCCTGTGATTGGAATTCGTAAAATTTTGCTCCCGAGTAATCTTCCTAAGGTCTCTGGGCCAGCTTCAACGATCCATTCATAAATTCGGCTCGTGTATTTTCAACTGGCACGCGCTGTAAATACTGTACGAGCTTGACGGTATCGAACTGCACCGAGTTATAGACACTCGAAGGCGGCAGTGCACTCAAAACCCCCAGGACCTGAACAGGTAGAGGCGGTGGACCAACAGGCATAGGCGGCAGTCCCGGTGGAGGGGCGGAAACACCTGCAGGAGGCGCCACGCCGTTGACTGGCACGAAAGTCTTGGTCGCGAAGCCACCTTTGCCAGCGCCAGAGGTGGTAGCTGCCAGGCGCACGCCGGCAGCGCCTTTGAGTGGTGATTCTCCACGCATGAACTTACGGCTTGGGCCGTCGTCGTCAGAATCGTGAGGCCGCTTGGGTGAAGCGACGTAAGGCCCATTTGGGCCCAGGAGGATCTCAGGCGCACCGCCCATTTTGGGGGACGAGGGGCCTTCAATGCTGGGAGCAAGCTGACCTCCCATGATGTGTTGAGCAGCAATTCCAGGCGGCAGCGATGCGATTGGCTTCGGCTGTGCTTGTGTCGGACTGAGGATGAGTTGCGCGTGGATGGCGTCGAAAGTCGGCAGCTCAAGACGATGGGCAAAGCGGGCAATTTCTGGTTCTTGTGGGTAGATCTCCGCCATCTTCTTTTCGATCTTGTGGATTTGCGCCAGGTCACCATATTTGCTCTCAAAATCGTGCATGTAGCCAATGAGTGGTCGGCAACGATCTTGCTTTTGCTCAGGTGTGATATCAGCGGTTGCCATAATCTTCGGAATAGTGGACTCGAAGACCACTCGGGCGTTGGTGATGTCACCAATGCTAATCAAGTGCTTGATGTATTCGAGGATAAAGGCATCGTCGGTTGGGAACAGCTTCATGCCGCGTTCGAAGATCTTTACCGCGGATGGGTCTCGATAACATTGCCACTCCATAAGCGCAGAGGCAATGTACACGTCACTTGAAAGTGGGCCTCGTGGTCGAGCCTCACCAAATATCCCTCGGAAGCCTTTGATCTCTTTGCCAGCTTCTGCGCCCTTCTTGGGAGGCTTGCCTTGACCTTGTACTCGGCGGAATGCTCGCATCTTCGCAACCCAGACGTAGGATATGGTACGCTTCAGCATGTCGAGATGTGCTGCAGATGATTTTTTGATCGCATCGAGCTGCTCTTGCTTCTGCTCGGCACGGGTCTTGGGCTTCTCCTTCGGCTCATCGTCGTCATCGTCCTCCTGCTCATTTGCATTCTCGTCCTCTGCTGGCAGTGAAGCAAAATGGGCTTCCACCTGTGCCTTGGCTGCCTTGTCTTTTTCCATGATCTTGTTCCGTAAGGCGTATAGCGGGGTGTGAACATCCTCGAAGGGCTTGTTGAGCCTCTCGCCGTTGCGCAGCAAAACTTCGTCGGTGTTGCCAGATTCCAGGGAGCTCTCCACGCGGTCTGCCTTCATCATAGCGAGCAGCACAGACTCGGGATTGGCAGTCATGCCACTGTCTAGGAAGTCTTCCCCTTCTTTGATGATAGCGTCAATGCCTGTGGAAAAGCACCACGATGCAGCCTCGAACCAGATCTCTGGGTAGAAGCGCAGTGCCATGGTCGCTTGTTTGTATGTATAGACAACCCGCTTGCGCCACTCGGCATCTTCGGAGCCCTTGTACACGAGTGGATCCTCGTCACGCTCCCAGTGAATCCAAGCGCGCCACCTCTCGACCTGTTCGCCGAAGTCGTCTTCGCCTGCGCAGCCATAGATTGGCGGCAGTCGCGGCAGCGATGTACGATCGAGGCGCTGTAATTTCTGTTCAAGCTGCATGCGTGCTGTGCGAGCCTGCATGTAGTGAGGGCTCTGCTCTTGAATGTGCTTCCGGCCAGTCTGCTTGTGGATATTCATCTCAAATGCTTCGTACTCCTTCCAAAGCTTGACGAGTTCGCCGTGTGGAAGCTTGGTGGCTTGTTGATATGCTTTTCGCAGCAAATCGACCTTTTGGAGATCCTGCCACCCCTGTCCACCGACATTGCCTGGCCCGTCCTTGACGAAGTCGACGTACTCTCGCCAAAGGTCGCCTGCATCGGGGTCGATTCCGGATTGATCCAAGGTCATCTTGAATGCCTCCATGATCTGGGCTCGGTTTGCAGGACCTTGTTCACCACTGACTGGCAGAATCCGCCGGATGTGGTCAAGGTAGAACTTCCAGAGCGCAACATTTGGGACCGTGTTGAGGGCTTGGGTGAGCAGATGTGCCATAAATTCGCGCTGGTCGAGATCATTTTCAAGTTGTATGCGTCGTAACCATAGCTGGACCTGTCCTGATATCAGTTACTGCGTGGAAACCCCCGCAGAAATCTGTCCATCCAAAAGGTAGAATCGCGCTGGATGATGTGTCGATCGGAAAGAGATCACGCCCATTCTTGCCCGAAGCCCTGCGCGATTGTATGCAAAGCACCCACTAGTCTAAGTTTCCCACGCCATCTGCCGCTACAGTGTCGCCACATCAAACACGATTAGGAAGGAAAATGTCAACATACCGAAGTTGGAAAGACCTTGGAGAACCTGGAGTACACGCTCCTCGCGTTATCAAATTGCTCCTTGGAGATGTAATGATCGATGAGCGTAAACCAGGCATCAGTGTCGCCTTTAGGGTCATCCTTGATGCGATCTTCAAGCTGGCCGACTTTGTCGTGAGGAAGTCTGGCTGGTGGTCCCTGTACTGCGGGAGCACTAGCTTGCTGTACAGGTGGTTGTGGAGTCGGCGCTATGCTTTGCTGTACTGGTTGTGGAGTCGGCTGCGCAGAAGGCGCCGTTGATGCTGTCTTACCCTCTGTAGCTTCAGGTGGAGCTGGAACTGGAGCAAGTGACTGGACTGTGAGTTCTGGAGCAACTGAAGAAGTAGTAGATGCGGAAACTGGAACAGTGAACCCATTAAGACTTGCGCCTTCGGCAGCTGTGTCAACATGTGGTGCACTATGTAAGGATACATCCTGCGCTTCAGACTGAGCCACTGCGCCAAGACCAGAGTGTTCGCCTGCATCTCCATTCGCCTGCGAGGGTGCTGGTGGTGCGCCCGCTTCTTGCTCGTCATCACTCTCTTCTACTATGAAGCCAGCGACTTTGTGCTGCATTTTTTGGGCTGGCTGATCGGTTTGCGCGGGCGTGTGCGGCACAGATTGCGCTGGCGTCGTATTCTCGGTGTTTTCGCCATAATTAACGCTCGAAGGGTCGTAATCGTCGTCCTCGTCATCGGCCTCTTCATGGCCCTCGTTCTCTTGACCGTTGTAGTTGCCGTAACCTGTCGGATCATAGTTGTCTTCGCCATGGTCGGCGCCGTCGTCGTAAGTCTGCGGCTCACTGGGATCGTACTCGGCAGCCATAACTGAGTTGGCAATGCGCGCGCCGGGCGCGATATCGAAGAGGTGGTACGCAGTCGCTGGCGAGGGCTTTGCTGCGCGCGCCGCGTCAAAAAGTTGCTTTCGTTCAACGGAATGTCCGTCGCAATCAGCCGTCCGTGAGTCAATGAACGGGTCGATGTAGGTGAGTTGCGCAGTCAATGGTGGTAGCGAGTCGAAGGGCGCAATGAGTCGATGTGAGGAGGTTGTTGTTGTTGTTGTTGTCGTGAGAGGTGAGATTGGAGTTTGAACGAGTAGAACTATGAGGCAGCAGCGGATAATTCTCGGACTACTCGGACAGTGATGGAAGCGGGACGGGAGGCGCGACCTCTCTACCTCTCCGACTCCCGACTCCCGCGTTATTGTTCAAAGGACAGTTCAAAGAATAATACCCTCCCTCTATTGTCATATACGACTAATTCCCGGCTGCCGCAACGAAGATAGAGCACTCACAGCTTTCGTGTGCGCTCATCAATCCGAGATCTCCCACACCATACCGAGCGCGACGACAGCAAACGCCTCGAACAAATGGAAGCCTAGAAACTGGTATCCTGAACAGCACGCAAACCACGGACACCCTATTGCCTCCTCGTCAATTCCAGAGGAACCTCTGCCGGGAGCAGCAGCCCAATATGTCTTCAAATCGAAGAAACACAACGACCATGCGGATACCGCCCTTCTTCCGCCGACTGTTCAAATTCACTTCCATGGACTTCGAGACGGCTGTATGGGAAATGACGCACCTCATCATCGCGCCCAAGAAGGTGTTTCGAAACATTTACTATCACAAACAAACCAAAAATTCATATCATAGAGCGGATCCGGCATTCACCTACTTACTGAGTCTGTTCCTCTTTCTCACTGGATTGGCATGGGGTCTGGCATATGCAGATGGATTCGGCCGGACGTTGCGTGTAGCACTCGCGTTTGTGCTGGTGCATTTTCTGGGCACAAGTCTGTCAGTCAGTATCGCGATGTATTTTCTGGTCGGCCGTGTATTGGGAAAGCGTAGGCAAGGGTTATTCGGGCCGCCCAGTGGAGGTGGTCTCAATGCTGGGGATGATGCATTAGAGTTTGGATATTGCTTCGATGTAGGTTGTGGCAAGGTGATAGACGTAGGCGGTGCTGACAGGTCTCTCAGGTTGCAATACGATCATACTTGCCCATTTGGACGTTCCTTTACGTTCTACAGTTCCTGCTCATGCCGCTCATAGCGCAAGACTACTGGGTGTCAAACCTCTTCGGCAACACCATGTACCTGATGGCGCTGAGTTATTATTTTGTCATTACCTTCCTGGGCTACAATGGTAAGTGCTAATTCATGTTGTGCAAAGTGCGAATGCTAATTTTACTGCAGCACTGCCCTTCCTCAGTCGTACTGAGGTACTTCTGGCACCCATACCTGTGCTCGTGGTGCTCTGGCTGATCAGCTTATTCACCTTTGACTGCGCCACAAACTTGGCGCCCGTTCTGTGGTGTGGCGTAAATTTAAGAAAGCCTGTGTAGAAGCAGTGCTCCTGCGAAGCATACAACATAGCCGCCAAGTACGCAAACAGGCAGCCAGTGAATCGCACATCAGCCTGCAGTGTATTTTTCGGGGCATGTCTGGTCTTCACTGACACACCGGTAGCGTGGCACAGCATGAGACGTGGGTTAGCAGCACATGTGAATGTCCGGAGAGCAATCTAGATTTAGTTCAGCCAACTTGGCACAGCGAATACCCAATATCAGTCACGAAACAACCCTCGTCCGGCGGCAAGGTTTCCAGAACCTTCCGCAACCATGGCGGCGACTGCAAGAGATTCTGTCGGCATATCCGAACTTCACGAGGGCGACATCAAGTATTCGCCTTTGCAGGACTTGCTGCTGGCCCAGAAATTCGACTACGCCTCACTGGACAGTCGCCGGAATCATCCGAAAAGAGGTCTGACCAGCGAGTGAGTGTGCTCCAAATCCAATTTTCAAGCCTGTCGAGCTTCACCGAGGGCAGGGTCAGAACAGACTCGCTCGAAGAGATTTATCTACCACTTGACTGGGTGCAGTCAGCAACTGAGGCGATCGAACGTGTTTTCGATTGTAAATAGATCCGACCGCGTAATAATTGCATCGAGCTCGATGTTCAAGGCAGTTGTGCAGCCCGCCTGCGCACGATATCTGAAGAACATGTCAGCCGTCAATGTATTCGTAGCCATGTGCGGCAGAGCGAACGCAGAGGATATTCGGGAGGGAGACGGGTCAACATTAAGGCATGGAATTCGACTCCGCCCAATCTGAATGACTCCGTATTACAGTGTACGGATGAGATAGGGAAAATTGGACCGAAGCACGTCAATCGGGTTGATAAGCATTGGTCATGGGAGTGAACTTTAATCAGAGGCCTACAAGTGAGGCTACAACGACTCTCGCAGCATGGATTCAAGCGTCAAGACCTTTCTGGACAATCATATTCCACAACTATAGGCTTATATCTCGGGGTACAACAGCTGAGTAGACGGTTAGTAGACACGACCTTGCGAGGTTTTTGGACATTACGGGCAACAGTGCACACTGTGCCGATAGTTCTATACGTTTGTCTGGCTCCAGATTCTTGCTCGTGCTATGGAAATTCTCCTCGTCTCGTGTCCTCCTCGACAGATGCTGCGAGACTGTTCCTCCGATGTTGTTCTCTCGTATTATTCACCTGGAACTGAATGGACGAGACCAGATCCGCTTTTCAAGAAGCACGGACGTCATATTCCGGCTAAGTTTCGGATACATGGATGGCTTTTGTGTTTGTCAGCAGAACGCATGACTTTGTCACCCCTCTCCAATGGCGACAACGTACTGAAGGAGGTATTGATAACCAAGACTGGCGTCATCCAAAATGCTTCGGCTATAAGACCCGTGGTGAGGGGATGGGTTCGAGTTCCATTCGTTTCCTCACTCATACATGCGGCAATCGACTTGGGGACTTACTAGCAACCTACTACTCTACAGAGCGTCCAAAGCCGCATCCACACGAGCGCCGTACACCACCCACTACCGAGCGTGCGTAACTCGAGCACACATCGCCACCATGACGACCGCAACATTCAAGCATATTGACCAGAGCAGCTACACGGGAAAACCATGGAGCAAAGTAGATACGGAAGGATATAGTTTCAAAATGAAGGACCACCAACGCGAGGTGCACAACCTCCGTGGACGCGAAGGAGAGTTCAATACCGACATCTCTGGCTTTGCGGTGTACAACTCTCCTGCGAAGGAGAAGCTGTTCACCGACGACAAAGCGGTACGCGAAGGCTACTACGCGGAGGTCGAGGAGCTGCTGCGCAAGAACATTAAAGGTATCAAGAAGGTACACATCTTTGACCACACTATTCGCCGAAGGGACAAGTCGTCACCAAGACAACCCGTCCAGCAGGTGCACGTGGATCAGACTCCTGGCGCTGCCGACGCTCGTGTGAGGCGCCATCTTCCAGCAGAGGAAGCGGGGCAGTATCTCAAAGGAAGGTATCAGATTATCAATGTTTGGCGACCCATTGGAAACCCTGCGTCTGATTTCCCACTCGCGGTTGTCGATTGGAGAACGACAGAACCAAAGGACTTCGTTCCTGTCGACCTGATGTATCCGCAGCGACCCGACTCTGCGATGGACGACGATGACCGGGGCAAGGAGCGTTTACCAGATGAATCCACACGTTTCTCAACCGAAGGGTACGAGGCACGAGGTGAGACACTCGGTGTTGCGGCGAACGAGAAGCACAAGTTCTACTACATGAAAGATATGACACCGGATGAAGTCATGCTGTTGAAGTGCTACGATTCCTTCGGGGTGGGAGAGAAGTTTGAGCAGAACGGCATCGCAACCCGAACGCCACACACAGCTTTCTTCGACCCGAGTACGCCAGCAAACGCTCCCGGAAGACAGAGTATCGAGGTGCGATGCTTGGTGTTCTACGAGTGATGAGAGTGCAATGAATCATAATGACCTGATGGGTGGGGGGGAGTCCAACAAACATATATGTACCTACGAGCGCGCCATACCATCTCTTTCAATGTTTGCGATCCTTGATTCGATCATCATGTTACCGCGGGGGTGTGTTAGTGCGTCCGGCGGCTAGAGCAGAGCTACCAAACATCCAGCCAAGTCTGTTGTTGCATTTCTTCACAGCTCGTTCCTGCGGTGACTGCACTGCGTACCTCCTACCTGTACGAGTGGTGGCGGGACAAGCCTTGTGACAAGATCCGCAGTCGGAGTGATCCGACTCGGAGTTTGCGTAACACTTATTCATCATCACCACCACCACATCGTTCATCCGTCGTCCTCCACCAGCAAACGACTCGACTTCCACTCATGATCACCGCGTACGTGTACCAAGCCATTTGCCAGACGCCTCGAAACGCAGCTTGGGCATTCATGCCGGACAGGGACACTGTCTACCACGTGTGCGCACCTGTATAGATTCCTGAGAGCGGTGGAAGGAAGCGGAAGCCTGGAGGTAAATCATCCTGTGATTCAGCAGGGCCTCTGGTCACGCAGGACGCTACTCTTCTGCTATCCTATCTAGGAACAGGACGAAGTAGGCATAAACTGCCCATAGTCGTACAACAACGTACAAGGGTAGGTATAGAACGCACACTGCCAGCGAGGCGGCCAGACCAGACCAGACCAGGCTCATCATCACGGCTCATCTGAAACGTCACCTTTCCGGCGCCAGTTCCGTCGATAATACCCCAAACAGGTTCCTGCAAGAAGTCCATGCAACGAGACGCGAATGTCTTTTGCAGTGCAGTCGACACCTTGCAAGTCCGTGAGAGGGCGAGATCGGGAGCGGCGCAAGCGCCGTAGCAAGGCACCATAGAGATCCAGGAATGAGTCGCGCAACGGGCGGGCATGCTGACGAGAAGGCTGTGGAGCATGCACATGCACGACTACTGGCGCAGTGTCCCAGGGCTCTTAGAGACGCTTCTATAGTACCACCTACTGTAGGAGGGAAGTCTTGGCTTCGACCTCGTGGCTGAGAGAGCTGAGCACCGCTGCGTGAAGACAGGGACGAAATGCTCCACACCATCTGGCTTGGCTTCTGCCGCCGCCGCCGCTACACTAAAGGTATACACTACAGCGACTACACTACATACTACACCTGCGGACGACCATGCGCTGGTTGCTGTTGGGTCCGTCGATCCCGCCCCTAGCCCCTAGCGTACGTAGCGTGAACGCCTGCAAAAAAAGCAGCATCAGAAAAATGTTCGTTCGGCAGGAATATACACACACACACACACACACACATCACCCCACTTCGTGGTGGTGACCCTGCCTGCGGGTCTATTCATATGACTCGCTTGTGATGCGATAATACCAAGCTGGCACATTGAGAATTGGTATCACTGGGCCCGGCATGGATTCCGCCACCATCATGGGGGTGTCTTTATGGTGGGCCGCTTATGCTCCGAGCTCACTGGCGCTCTACTGAATCGATCAGGGTCAGCTCGAGACTCAAAAGACTCTTTGAACCTCATATCTGTTTCTGCCATTATATCTGGTTAGGTTTGTCGATTTGTTCTCCGGGTCACTATACCTCCTACCATCATGGCAACGAAGCTCAAGCACAACAGAACAACGCCCAATGTCAAAGCTGCCTGCGAGGAATGTCGGTACGTGCAGCATCCTCCCACTTGCCTTCCGTCACTAAGCAAGCATCGCAGGCACCGCAAGACCAAGGTGAATCGCCCACGCCTCCGCTTCGCCCAACGCTGACCGGTTTCTGCCATTAGTGTGACGGAGTACGGCCTGTTTGTTCACAATGTTCGAAACGAGCCCGGCCTTGCGAGTATGACGCGGAGCCCGATGAATATCGCACTGCCACATTGAAACGAAAATGCAAAATGTTCGAACGGCAAGCCCTGGCGGCAGAACAGCTCCTCTCTGCTCTCCGAGACCTTCCCCCATTGGAGGCTGCCGAGTTGTTTCGACGACTCAGGACCGGTGAAAACATCCCGGCCATCATCAGCACGATCCCGCGAACACAGGCTCAGCAGGCTGAACAACTCATGGGGTCACCTTCGTTTTCCGAATCGTACTCCAGCACAGGCGGCGCGGATACAGTCATGGAGCAGCCTCCTCCCCAGCCACCTCAAGCGCAATATCGACCTCCACGGAGTGTCCCTGTGCAGCCCCCACAGGTTACTACTCCCGGTCGAAGCAGACTCGCCATCGACTTCCTTGTCAATGGCAGCGACGAGACACGCTCGGACACTATACAGGCCTGGTCCAGGGAAGCCAATGGGCACACGGGCACCAACTCAGCCACTCTGTCGAGAAATTCGAGCTATCCTCCGATCACGCCAACGAGTCTAGATCAGCACAGACGATCGTCGGCTCCCATGTCAAATTTTGCAGTGCCCGTAATGGATATGATGCCTTCTGCCACAGTCACAGCTCACTCTGCGGCTGCCCCCGAGGCTGCAATGGAGCAGCTTGCTGTAGTTGCACCGTGTTCATCCAGCGACTGGGACAAGTACTACACCAACGTATCGACTCTGTTCCGGAGCTTAGGAGAAACATCCAAGGGGCCTCGGCCATGAGCCCGACTTTTTCAACTATTCAATCAAGGGTTGTGGGAAGGTACCTACGATTCCCCATTTCATAAGCTCCTGCCACAGTCACAGCCAGCAGCAGGACGAAGATTTAAAAAAAGAGATGATCCACGAGGGACTTTTCCGTACGGCTAAAGACCGGGAAAGGAGGCAAACGCAATATATTATTATTGTGAAAGCGGCACGAGCACGAGCACCACCCAATCATTTTAACGTCGGCGAACGTCCGCTAGTCTTGATGATGATGATGCTGATGATGGTGGTGTCTTTTTATTTTTCTCCCTCATCACCGCGTTTCGCCGCAAACGCAAGGCAACGCAACGTAGCATCAACCTATGGGGTGAAAACACGTCGACCGGACTTGCGATTTTCTCTGCGTCAAGACCGGTGTCGCGAATCATCATCATCGTTATAATCATCATCATCATCATCATCATCAAGCACCATCATCAAATCCATCACAACCCTGGGATACCGGTGATGGCCCGTGATTCGCCATAAGTGGCAATATATGCGGGAGGGAAGGGATTGGGGGGAGGGGGGAAAGGAAAGTGGCTCAAAGTGCGGCTTAAACCTCACACAGAAAGGAATTCTAGATTCACTGGATTGAGAAGGTGAACACCTAAGCATGCAGATTCACTAGATTGAGAAGGTGAACAAGCATGCGGCAATTTCTCTCTAGCATATTAGTAGAAGTAGCCAGTAAGGTACTCTACAGCAGGCAATATTGCTCGCTCGCTCACCTCATTGAACCTCAACCTCAACAACCATCTCAACAACAAAACTACCAGGTAGTTTGAGAGAGAGAAAAAACATACACCCCAGTAAGACGGGAAGGCGTTCAGCCATGCCTATGCACCACACCGCCTTTCCCGCCAGAGTCTCGACCCGTGCCTATAAGGTAGAAAATGGATAGATACCTTATGCTTCATGCAAAGCCTTGCGTCTTCCAGCAGTCAGTCTCAGGAAGAGATTTCCTTTTTTTCGGTGTAGACGCCGAAAAAGAACTGGAGATTTCCAGTTTGCCTTCTTTTTCTGATCATTCGATACGTCAGGATCTAGTGCTCTGTCCCTCTCTCTCTCTCTCTCTCATTTTCAACTCCGTTTTCCTGAGACTTTTGATACGGGCTGGATAACCTGTAGGTGCGAGATTCTAGACTACATAGATGCGCGGACGGGCTACGCTTCAGCAGAGTAATAAGCAAGATAGGTACACCACTACTACCATGACCATCACCATCACCATCACCATCACCTCCTCATCCTCCACCACCAACGCCCATCACACGCCGAATATGCATCCCGGCCGTGGCACTTTCGGCCCGGATTATGCTAGCACATACATACATATATACATATACAATAGTAGGTACGGCAGGCGGTATCCAGTGTAACATAGGGCTACAAAATCTATAATTAAAAAGCCCCGTCTCCCATTGCGTCCCGTCGTCCGACTCCGGGGCTTCGGACACTGCTCCTACAAACAAGAACCGGCCGTCGACCGAGTGCTTGCGCATCGGCTCGGTGTTACCCTACATAGTACCAGGGTGTAGTGTAGTGCCGTGTAACATGTGTCCGGAATGCAAGCTTCGGCTAGGAGGAGAGACAGAGTGTATGTGTGTATGTGGAACAATCGATCGATCTTGTACTTGCGTTTCTTTTTTGTGGATTGCAGGTCTGGGTATGGATGGATGGATGGATGGATGGATGGATGTGATTGACCTGCGGTGTCATATCAACGTTGCTTGCATGTCGGAGTGAACTGCGCAACTTAATGATTGAAATGCAGCAAGGGAGTCGGTGTCATGGGGGGTCATGATGACTGGGCATGACGGGGGAAGGTTGTTGTTGAACTTGGACCAATTGATTGATTTGTTCTGCCAAGATACAATAGCCGGATATCGCAAAAAGAGGCGAGGAGGGAGGCGTGGGTGGGTGGGTATGATGAACCTGTACAGTCTTGTGGCGTGGCAGCCATATAGGAGGATCGAGGATGGATGCGTGAGAGTCCCACTGGTAAGGGAGGTGAGGTTAGGGAGATTGCAAGGCCCCCCTATGAAGCGTCAATGAATTCGGTTCGTGTGCATCGTCGTCAATATTCACTCCGTCGTTCGTCGCCATCGCCATCCCCCGTCACACATCGCCGTCGCCGTCGCCGTCGCCGTTTCCACCGCCCGCCCACGTTCCGCTCCGCCCCCTCGCTCTCACTCGAGACGCTGAGGTCCCCGTCACCGCCATCAACTTCCGCGCACATTCTCGCCCGTCTGCCGAAAAGTGGTGCTATGAGCAGAGAAAGATTGCCGGATGCGCGGTGTGGGATGCAATGATCAAATCTACGAGGTCGTCATATAGATGTAATACCTCTCCCAGGCATAATGGAAGAAGTCATGACGGGTATTGTTTCCACTGTACCTTACATCTTAGGAGGTAGAACACATGATGCAAACCCCGCTCAGTTGCTCATCACCACACCTACATAGAGTACCCACATGCACTTTCAGCCATCCTGTCGTCGTCCACTTGCCATCCATTGTAGCAGGCCGTCCGCGACCTGAAGGGGCTTGTCATGGATGGTGATGCGCTGCCTTCGCCCAAGATCGGCGAATCTAGTGAATCGCCCGTGACGACCACCTTCTTTGAGCCGCCTCGACACCACCGCCACGACAGCCACGACAGCGAGCACCCCATCGACGACTCGGATGGGCACGATGGCTATGATGGGAACGGCGAGTGGGGACTGCCATCAGCGCATATCCGCGTGGAAAGCCCGCGGCCACGACCGCGACCCAGCATGCCCAGGAAGAATACCAACAGAGGCAATAGCCAGATGAACATGCAGGAGGCGTTGCGATTGGCGCGACGACGAGAAGAGCAGGAAACGCTGCTGGCGGATCATGAAGAGGCCGACGATGATGGCTGCTATCCACCGCGAAAGAATGATGATCCGACCGTGCCCAACCCCCACAGCTCGTTGCCCGTGTACACCACGATCCATAAGATCAGACGCTTGATGATTGCGAGCATTGGTATGCATGTTGTGGAGAGAGATGTGACGATGGGTGCGGTAGATAGCTGACATAGAGACACACGTAGACGATCCATACAGCAGCGAGCAGCTCAAAAGTCCTAGAATGAACGTGTCAGTCGTGCGGCCACTGGTGGACCATCTCTACGACCCGGACGATGTCTCGACGGTATTCTGTCTTCTCGTCAACCGCGTCCAATTTCTACGCGAGCAGTCGTACCAGGCGCATCATAACACGGTCAACATCACTCGAGCACATTTGTGTGAACTGGTAGCGGCACGAATCCTGCGGCGATATGATGAAGACCATGAAGGCCGCATGGGACTACTCACGCTCGCCAATGTCCTCGTTGCCGGTTTCGAGCCCTTTCAGAATGCTCCTCGTGATATCACGCGAGAACATCGCACGGAACTGCATTGGACCATTCGCTGGAATCTTGCTAGGCCTGAGTACCAGCGCATGCTGACTGCACTCGAAGTTGCTATTGTCTCCGAAGCAAAAAGCTTCTTGGCTGCTTCGGCGTGTCAGAAGATTGTTGAGAATGTCTATCGCGGACGGATCATCTACACGCCTACGTCCTTTATCGACATCTTACCTGATCACTACAAGAATCGTGGCATCACGCTGTACGATCCGCGGAGGGCGCCTATTCTCAATCAGTACCGTCTCATTGTGCCTCGGACCAGGAACATCATCGAAGTGGTGCAGTTCGTCATCCTTCTGGTACTGTACATCCTGACCATGGTCAACAAGTCCCGCTCGAAAGGGTCGCTCCATACACAGTTCACGACACTCGAACTGGTGTTTGTCATCTATGCTATGGGCTGGAACCTGGACGAGATCGCCTCCGTTTCCGAACACGGCTGGACAGTGCACACCGAGAATCTCTGGTCTTTCCTCGACATCACCTTTGTCCTCATCTTCAGCGTATATTTCTGCACGCGGATGCATGGGCTAGTCCTTCACGACCCTTCCACGGGCTGGCTCGCAGAATGTATCCTCGCCATGGCGGCACCCGTTCTCCTTCCGCGATTAGCATTCTGCATGATGCCTGAAAACATGCTCTTCATTTCCCTACGAGCCATGATGGCGGACTTCACCTTCCTCACCGTGGTCGCCTGTTGGTGCTTCGGTGGTTTCATTCTCGCCATGTGGTGGCTTTCCGAAGCTCAAGACGGATTTCTCTCACATACCGTGGTCACGATCTCCAAATGGATGCTGTGGATCTGGTTCGGGCTCGATGGAACGGGGATCCAACGCAGTGTGGAAATGCACTGGTTTCTGGGCCCCCTGTTGATGATCACTTTCGCATTCCTCGGAAACACACTCTTCATGACAATTCTAGTCGCGATGCTCTCCAACACATATGGCGCGTTATCCCAGAATGCAACATCGGAAATTCAATTTCGACGCGCGGTTCTCACCTTTGAAGGCGTCAAATCGGATTCTCTGTTCGCGTACCGACCACCGACCAACCTCCTCGCATTCTTGATCTTGCTCCCTCTCAAGTTCGTCCTGACACCCCGCTGGTTCCACAAAGTCAACATCACCGCCGTCCGAGTCCTCAACGCGCCCATCCTCCTGCTGATATCCTGGTACGAACGCCGCTACTTGTGGAAGCGCGACCGGTTCCTCTCCCCACCTCGGAAACATACCTGGCTCAGCATGTGGGAGAGTTTCGGAGCGCACGGCGATCTCCACGCCGTGTTCAATGCAGAGCCTCCGCAGGAAATTCTCGATGAAATGGAAGATGTGGATGACGTGCTGGCGAATGAATTGTATGACGGTCTGGATTACCTGAGCGCGTTGCGAGCCCGGCGAGGAAGTCGAAGTGGTTTTAGTGATGCGAGTGGCGTGTTCGGGATGTCGAGATCCCGGAGTAGGATGAATGGATTTCGCAGACGGGGAACGTATCGAAACAGCATGGGAGTCAGTGGGGATGATGGGGTGGGTAGAATCGAAGGTAGTCGGGGTGGTGGAGCTGGAATTCCTATACCTGATGCTGATGATGCGGCTCCGAGAGCCGATGGAGACGCTGTATAGCACTTATTCATCTTTTATTTATTCTGGTTGTGCTCATGTCTGCATGTCTTTGTATCTTGCAACTCCCTTTCTAAGTTTTCTCGCTTACAAAGACAGGTCTCTTCTCTACAACAACAACTACAACAACCTCCTTGCCCTCTCTCTTCCAGAACCGATTTCGCATATACAAAAACTCTCCCAACCCATCTCATCTCCATCTCCATCTCCATCTCCATCTCCATCTCCATCTCCATCTCCATCTCCATCTCCATCTCCATCTCCATCCCCATCTCCATCTCCACCTCCATCCCCTCTCTCTTCTTCTTCTTCAACACTCAAACATCTTCGTCGTACTAACATTCACGCGACTCCACCTCGTCCCCTTGACCAAACACATGGCGAACCTCAGCGGCCAATAAACATGATACAAAGCAAACCACGGCAACGGATCCCAGATTTCATACGTTCCATCTTTCCATGTCAGAACGTGAGAGAGAAATGTTAAGAGATTGTGCTTGTAGGCGCGATAAAAAGATGGGGAGAAGAAGAAGGAGAAGAAGGAGAAGAAGGAGGGGTGTTGTGGTGGTGGTGGCTCGGTTGTTAGAGAGGAGAGGAATGGGTTGAAGAGGAGAGTTAGGAGGTCGTGGCCGATCCAGTAGTAGTTTGTTTCTTCTTCTTTTGGTGTTGTTGGTGTTGGTGTTGTGGCGAGATGTTCGGGGTTATTGTTATTTTCGTTAGGAGTTTCGTTCAAAAGTTCGAGATAGGCGTGAATCATATCCGGATTGCGATTCGTCAACAGACAAACTGCCGTGTGAGCTCGGGGGTTACATTCAATAGGATACAAGACAATTTCCCGCGGATCGCGTCGTCGTCGTCGTTGGGTAGTCGTCGTCGTCGTCGTATCCGTATCATCCCCCTCGACCAAAAAATCAAACGACAAATGTCCTGTAAAAGTCTCTCCTTCTGCAGCCGCATACGTCCGAGTGAATTGCAACATGGCTTGCGAAAGAGCAGAATCCGCGGGTAGAGCGCGATAGTGCATAAGAAGTTCAGCAGAAGGACAAGCGACAAACGCGCAAACTTTTCCCCGAATGACGAGTGCATGCGTACAAAATTCCTGGCCGAGAATAAATTGTTGCAGAATCCAAGGGGATTGAGGGGAAATGTGGAGTGTTGCCAAATATTTTTTCGTGGCGTGGGGAGTTTCTTTGGGGAGGAGAGTTGAGAGAATTTCGCCTCGAGCGGCATCGTTCATGCCGATGGTTTTGAGGATGTATTTCCTCCCCGGGGCCGCTTGTTGTAATGCATGCTCTACTTGCTCGCGACTGGTGATGGTGTGGGTTTCTGGAACGTGCAAGCCGATTTGTTTGGTGTGTTCCACAAAGGTATGTTTCTCGTGCAACATTTGCGTTATGCGGACATTGAATTGTACGGCTTTGCAATTCGTTTGTTGCTCAATCATCTCTTTGGCTTCGCCATCTTCTACCGCTGATGCCACTCCTGAACAACTCACCCAGAGATCGACGTGTTCTCGTACAATCACATTGATGAGGTCTTGCACGTATAACTTGCTGCTGCTGCTGCTGCCGGAAGATGAAGATGATGTCGTCGGTTTTCGCAAAGTATAAAACCCCGACAACGCAGTAGAAAATCTCCCACACGCAAAGCCAGGCTCGAAATCTGCTCCAATGACGCGATGGCCCGCTTGGTAGAATGCTCGTGCGAGAGCGAGGCCTTTGGTCATGCCGACTCCAGTGACAAGAATCGTTTTTTTCGCTTCCTGCTGCTCATCCTTTTTCTTCTTCTCCGAAGAAGATGATGATTGTTGAACTCCGGATGCGAGGACGCCAGGTTTGTTGCCAGAGTAGAAAAAGTAGCGAATGGCATAGCTGAGGAAGAGAATGGTCAGGTCGAGGGGGAGAAAGGCCAGACTGAGGAGGATGAGGAAGATGTTTTGTGCTGCGTGGGCGAGCCAAGGAGAATCGCTGTTGAGCACCATTTTTCTCGTCGTCCTTGTCGTTGTCGTTGGTGTTGTTGTTATCGTGGTGTCAACAACATTGAAGTCTTATGGTATATATGAATACCTATATAGGTATAGGTATAAACACAATATGTCACTTTTTCTAAGGTTCTTCTTCTTCTTCCCTCTCTCTCTTTCTCTCTCTCTCTCTCTCTCTCTCTCTCTCTCTCTCTCTCTCTCTCTCTCTCTCTC